TGACCTGCCAAGAAGGAAATACAAAGAAAACTTCCCACAATCTACAGACAATTTCATGCTGTCATTGTGCAGCACTACTGTGTGTTAAAAAACAGCAATTTGACCATTAATATAAATGGCTAATTTTTTAGTAACTTTCAAAGTGCTATATACAAACGAACTGGAATAAAACCATAAAGATTCATACAAGTAATGTTCTGATAACTTTATATTGAACAAAAGTAAGAGGTTTTTCCAAAAATGGCTATGCAGTGGTTATGATAACATACAGTAGCATTCATGGTACAATTATTTCTGATATTTTGAAAAAATTATATTATTATAGTTCCGAGTTCTAGTGTACCTGACCATCAGTTCATTCTTTCTGGCATTTCCATTTTCTTAATCTTATTAACACAACTGCATAAACATATTAAGTTCCTTTTCATATTTTATCTTCTTTACAATGGTGACCTCAATAGCAAAGGAGAAAGCTAGAAAGCAAAGTTGCTACAGATAATAATATAGATTTTGTGATCAATCATTTGTGTGTTAACTATTCTTTTCATTGTTTGACTATTATTATTTCTATTATTCATATTTTATAGGGTTCTATTCAAATAAAATAAGGCCAATAAGAATGAAGTTAAACATGACTTTATAAGCAGCAATAGAAAACTGGTGGAAAGACTGACTACAAAATCTTCACCTCTCTAGAAAAATGCTGCTAAGACAAATACATCTTGACATTTATTTTTAAAACTAGCAAATCTTTAAAATATGAGTCTGAAACTTACAAGCTTATTATAAAGCTAAAAGCCTTGTAAAAATCAACTTCCTGGAATTCTTCTTGTTGTAACCTTGAGCCTTAAAATGTAAAACAAATTTACAGTTGCTGCTTCAAGGACTTTGCAAAGCACTTCCTATCTCTAATTTCACTGCTTACAAGACATAACCACCAAAACTGTAAAGTAACTAGACCACTGAAACCAGACAGAAATAAAGTAAGATGATTTTGCTGCACCTCAGCAAGAGAAACTTACTCAACAGCTGAACCATACGAGAATGGTCACTTCTACCTGGAGCACTGCCTACTTTTAGTTTCCACTCAAGTTTTAAAATCTTGAGATATTTCAGTCCAAAATTTGCAAGGTTTGCGTGGGTAAATTGCTTCAGAAGACTGGTAGCAAAACACAGGAGCCTTTCAACTGCACTGACCAAAATGTGACAGTGAAAAACAGTGGCTGAACAAAACTTTGTTTGTTGTGTTCTCATGTGAAATCAATTGGGGTACACAATTACAGTCACTGTAGACTGGAGCTTAGAAGCTGTGAGTCTGTTAAAATATAGCCAATCTCTGAGAAACTCTGCTCTGTCCAACCAGCAAGGTGGTAAGAAAGAACTATCCCAAACTCAGTCATCATGCACGAAGACAACACAGGTTGAATAAAATTACATTTCTAGTAGAGCAGGGAAGTTCAATTCACACAGAAGAGTTAAATTCACTGTGATAAATACTAGGCCTGAATAAAACTGAAGAAATTATCAGTTCTATTTGTCTACTATTAGCTCTAGTTTGAAATTCTCCCAATTTTCAAGATTTTATTCAAAATAAACTAAGAGAATTATAACTCTTGCAGTACATCTCAGTTTAAAATCACATGAACCCTTGCACACACCAATTCTGATACAAAAAATGGGATGGGTCAGCAGTGCTTAATAACTTCATGGAAACTCCTCCATCCTTTCCTTGTCAGTTGCTGACATTAGGAAGTCCTTCTATGCAAATCAGGAAAGTTAGAATAAACACAGGAAAATTTCATACTAGCATCTTTATTGAGGTACTTTCCTGTCTATTATTTGCAAGTTAAGGATCTTATTAGTTGCTCAAATTACGATGACAATTTATGTTGAACAGTTCCGGGACAAGATGCCATGCTACAAGTACTTATTAGTATTGGCCTCACTGAAACCCTGCAAAAGAGACCCTCATCCCAATTCCAGACATCTGAACTACTGTTAGATAGCCAGAGGATCATGTTGAAGATCATCATCTTGAAGCCAAGTAAGGTCCTTCCAAAAAGACTCAGATACATTCTGTGCACTGAGGAGACACAATTTTTAGTAAATAACTTCTATTGAAGAAGAGCTACAATACCTCTCACTGCCCTACAGCCTCATAGAATCTATCACCTCTTCATCACTCACTGAAGAAAAAAACAAGAATACACACAGAAAATGAACTGCTAAAGAGACGTCATGTTTTCACTTTCAAGTTAGGCACTACAAGCTTGGTTTCAAGCTCTGTACCTTATTTTCTTCTTCAAAATAGTAAATGTCAGCTGGAATTTTAGGTTCTATGGATTGCTCTAAAGTTAACTTGCTACTTCTTAATCCTCCAATTACAAATAAAAGGGAAAAAAGTCCAGAACCTCAGTTTTAATAAGCAGTAAAAGTGAAAAGAAATATGAGGGGAATTACTGAAGGCTAATGGCCATCCTGATGAAATTATTAATACAAGTTCACACTTCAGAATAACCCAAGACCATCTCTGCATATATAACTGCCCAGCAATGACAATGGTTTTGAGAGTTCCATCTTCTGCAAACTGTTGTAAGAATCAAGTTAATGCTCAAGTGTAATAAGAGCTCTATTATATACTAGTGAATGACTGAACCACTTACTCCCTAAAAGTTAGAAATAAAACAATTTTCACACCATTTTTTTTCTTTTTTGTTTTTTTCTTTTTATTTTTTCTTATAGCTCCAAATAGAATTGGTACAGTACAAAAATACAGAAGGTAATTCAGCTGCTGGAAAGCATATCTGATTTGTTGTGTCCCACAATTTTATAAAAGCTATTCAGCTGGAAGGCAATAAATGAGCATTGAAGTGATTTACACACTTCTGGATCATAATTTTTTACACAATGTTTTATTTTTAAAAATATATATATGCTGTATACTATTATGTTTATTCTCCATGGTATAATAAAATCATAAATCTATCTGATGAAAAATGGATTGTATTCCAATTGTATCACTGTAGCGCATAGAGCTGCTCTTATCATACCACTTACAAAGATCAATGGTAACTTGAAAATGATTTCATTCCATGCTACCTCTAATATATTAGCAATAAAAGGACTCTTTTTAATTTAAAAGTCACATCAGCTGCTGTCCATCTTCTTTTAAACTCCTCTCCATTTCTGAAACTGACGTATTACAGAGGCGAAATATCACCTGGAAACTACAGGGCTACTTTCTGATTTTCCTTCTGAAAATTAGTTTAAAAACAAACCTAAGTGTCTATTCAGCAGAAATACAAAGCTCTTCCTAACAGGCATTGTTGTGTACCACACCTTAATCCAATTTCCTGCTCTCTTTATGTATAGTATCATTTGGATCTTAGAAAAATCACAGCAAACAGGTTCTTCTGATTAGTTCCTAATTAGGGACTGTGTCCTCAAGATGGGGTCAATCAGTCTCCTTAAAAATGTACAAATAGTTGCATTGTAATTATGTTAATGTAAAATGTAACATAAAATAACGACTGATCTAAAGTACCATTAAGAGGAACAAACAACTGGCCTGCTTCCCCATAGCCAGAAGTTTTCTCAACCAGCAGCATACATTTTACATACATAAAAAATAAAAGACTAGCAAAGAATGCATTCCAAAGACTCACCTTGATAATAATTTTTATAACTCTTAAGATGACAAAATCGCTTTTATTTGCAGTTGGAGACAACACATCTGCCAAAAATGCTGATGCTGTATTTCCCCAGATATACAAGACCATAGCAACTCAAAACATAAGTACCTATGACAACAACTCAACTCCAACTAAGAATCTACATTTCACTGATGTCCACAGCTGGGAAATTGTGATACACAGCTGCACCAGGCAGGGGTCCACAACAGCTTATTTCCTGTATCTTCACAACCATTGCTACCATGGGATTATTAATATCACAACTACGTTTGTCAACGCTGGTTTATTTAATTAAAATATTCAAAATGTGAGACATGAGTTATATAAATAAAAAGCCTGAAACCTGCCTCAGCTTGGCATAAGCAGTATGACAGTAATTCAGAAATGAACTAAATCAGTTTTGTGAGATAACAGCAATGGCTTAAGTCCAGTCAGAAAGCTGCTTGGGAGCAGAAAAAGACCTCCAAAATGGAGGACCAAAATGTGGGATTCAATAAAATTATACAGCCTTAACACAAAACTCTTCTATTTGTTCTGTCTCCATCTACACTTTTTTAAAGGGGCAATTAGTTTATTTACTTAAGACCAACTTTCACAGATCAAAGTATTTTAAAGAGATTAAAGTGTTTAGCCACAAAACACTGCTACCACTTTTCAAATAAGGCACAAATCCTTGAAGTTATTTTTTTTGTAGTTATGCAAAAAAATCCACATCAACAAAGAACTCTTCCAAAGAACTGCTTCTATAGCATTAACATTTGGAAACCAGTATGTTACAAAGAAGTGGACAACGTAACATATTACCAAAAAACATTCTAAGAAAATTTGTTACAGCTTTAACAGTTCTAACTGAAATAGGTAAAATAATTACTTATATAAGAAAGATTATATATATATTTTAACTTACTTGCTTTTTCTACTTCCATTAGAAATGCTTAAAGAACTTACTGAGTTCAAACGTTATTTTTTTGTAAAAATCTGTAGCTATTTTAGTGAATAAAAACAAATCACATAGCTGTAGGAAATACCACTACCATAGGAATACATATTTCTTCCTCCACTATCACACCTACTGCAATAATTACTAAGATTGAGGTGATTCAACTGTTAAAAACAACACACAGAGAAAGACTGTAGCACAAAAATTATATGGCATTAACAATTTGTTGAAATGCTCAAGTGGTTAAGGTGAAATTACTACTGAAATAATAATGAGAATTTTAACCTGAAACTAGAAAAGAAAGCAAACCCAGATTTCTTCCTAAATGTAATGATTTTCACTAATATTTTTTAACACAAATAATTTACCTAGAAGAGTTCTTCTTAATTTTTTCATCAAGATCACTAAGGATTTGTTGAAACTCCAATTCTCCAGGAAGGACATTTAACAAACAGTCTAAATTGGATGAATCAAGAGAATACTCTCCTCCCCATTCCATTTTCAGAATCTGTAAAACAGATACAGAAAAGTGGTCAAAAAAAAAAATGACACAAAAATCAGACTACAAGTATAAAAATAAAAAAAAACTTTGTTCCTTGAAAATAATTAATAAGGGAAGCATTTATTTAAGGAATTACAAAATGGGTATTGAACAGTAAGCCCTGTGCATGCTTCTGACTAGGGTCCTAAGAGAGGGACAACTCTAAAATAAAAGCAGAGACAAACTTAGTAAATTGTTTTTGTAATTAAAAAAACCCAACCCATTCTTTTACCTTAATCAGAGTACTAGCTTTCTTAACAATTTTTTTAAAAAGTTTAGTAAAAAAAAAATAAAATCACTACTATAACTGGAAAGTATAAAAATAAATAAAATAGAGGGTAAATTGATTTTCTGTGTGCTTATAACTTCTGCCAAAGGAGTAACTGCTTTCTGGAAATTAGGACATAATTGCAAATAACTAGAAGATAAAAATCCAGACTGAAAGCCCATAATGTGCCAGAAAAAAAGTATCACCTTGCTCCATACACATTTTATTCAACAAATAATTTGCTAAAACACAGGTCAAATCCACCATCCTACTCAAACTAAGACACTAAATCCCAGAAGACTTTACATCAGAAGCAAAGGAGTAGCACAGGTTTTTTTTTGTTTTTTCTGTCATCTCTTTTTTAAGAAATAATGAAATTGATTTTACAACCAGTCATTACTTGCTAACAAAGTTAAAGACAAAAATTACATGGAAAGTGGAAACTTATTGATTACCAGTATATTTCATGTCTACTACTTAGTATTTAATTATACTATTAATATTGCAGTACCAACATAAAGGACCAATGTAACTATTTAGATGCACACAATGTTTGAGCAACAAAATACAATTAATTAATAAATACACTACTCTTCTTACAAGCCAAATTCTTTTATGAGACAAATGCCTAGAGGCACTACTATAAAAACAGATTTAGAGCTTTTCTAAGTGGAAGGCCTACAGGACATATGCTCCAAAAGAACATCAGATTAATATGAAGGGTCAAGATGACAGAATTGGTCAAATATGAATATAGAACTACAAGTAGTAGAACTGCACATTTCTTCAGCAGAAATAACCCCAATGATTCTGATTTTGCTCTTTCAAAACAAAATCAGAAAAAATGTGAAGTTCTTTCAAGCTTATTATTATCTCACACATCTGAAGTAAAAATACAATATTACAAAATATTTCATGGGCAAATAATTTTCTTAAGTTCTCAGAAGTTACAGAATATCCCTTTGGAAATAACACCTCAAAGACTTCCAGCATTTTAGAATGTAGCTCAGACTCGGTCACCTTTCTGGTTAAAAGGTTGGAAGTAACCCAAATACATCACGTTATTAATTGAGGGAAGATCAGTCTTTAAATATAAGACTCAAGGTATCTTGACAGATGTTACTACAATTAAAGACACTGTATTTAAAAGCAGAAGTTAAAAAGCATTCTCCCAAATGCTGAAATAACGAAGTTAGTAGTTCTGGCAAAAAAACATATTAACAGTAGGTCAAGTTGGGAAGGTTCTGCAACCAATGGAAAACCATTAAATAGCCCATTACACAATTGAGATAAAAACACTGAAAATGCACCTGTTCATTCATATATACTTATATTAAGACATGATCACATAAATCCACTCCCTTTTCAGAAATATCTCAAGAGTTAATACAGGATGTGATGGTAACTCTATTAAATACCAGTAACTCAATCATCTTTCACTCAATTGTACTTGCAAAACAGTCATTGACTGGTGTAAAATGTATTGGATAACAGCTACAGGTAAAGCAAGACAGTAACAGCTTGGAGTGATTCAGAGTTTTGATAAAATAGCAGCACAATCAACATTTATATTACTATTTATTCCTAACTCTTTTCCTTCCAGGACAGCCAAGGGAAGCTTATGTTCCTCGGAAAAATACCTGTGTAGTTTACAGACCACTTCCTGTTTAAAAGATTCATCACATGAAAAAAATGACCTTGTAAACATGACAGCCTAGTTTTCACATATGCATTCTTGTAAGAGTTCTATGTCATACTTTGTCTCACTTGTCAAAACAAGGTAATTATTCCTTTCAGACGGGAAAAGTAATATTTTATTTCAGCAATTTTCAAATCCTATTTCAGGTGGTCAATAGTAACCTCTTTTTAAGAAAAACTACTTATTTCTCAAATACAAGACTATCATATGAAGAAGCAAAATGCAAAACCATTTTGTAGCAGCTCTGCTCTGAGGACAGGCTGGGAGAGTTGGGGTGTTGAGGCTGAAGAAGAGAAGGCTCCAGGGAGACCTGAGAGCAGCTTCCAGTGCCTGAAGGGGCTCCAGGAAAGCTGGGGAGGGACTTTTCACCAGAGAGGGCAGTGATAGGACAAGGGGTGATGGTTTTAAACTGAGAGAGGCGAGATTTAGGTTAGACATCAGGAAGAAATTCTTCACCATGAGGGTAGGAAGGTATTGGAACAGGTTGCCCAGAGAAGCTGTGGCTGCCCCATCCCTGGAGGTGTTGAAGGCCAGGCTGGATGAGGCTTGTGCAGCCTGGTCTGGTGGGAGGTGTCCCTGCCCATGCAGGGGGTTGGAACCTGATGATCTCTAAGGTCCCTTCCAATCTCAACCAGTCTATGATTCTATGAAAAGTGCTTCAGAAGGAAAAAATAAGTACATCAAGATCTACAATAATTCAGATCAACCACAAATTCTGCTGTTCTACAGTTTAACCAGTGTCAGGGCCCTGGCTGCACCAACAGGCTTTGACTGCCTGATGAGTTGGACTCTCAGTGGACCAAAGTGCCACACCCAGTGTACGCCTCACGTGTCACCCTTGGGGCAGCAGGATGTGATCAGCTGGCAATGACCCCCCTGCCATCCAGGTTATCTCCTTCTCTCCCAGCCAGTCACTGCTGCTCCTTGATAGCCAGGATAATGCAGCACCCCTCTAATGGCAAACTCCCCTATTTTTGTTAATAATAAATAAAGACACCCCCTTTTTTTTTTTTCTGCATAGGAGATGAATTTAACACTTGTTATTATGCTGCACAGAAAGTATAATTCTATAATATTTGTTTACTATTCACTACAGTGAAATCCTGCATGTTTTGACCCACAAGACTTTAGAGAACATTCAGCTGCAACTCACTGTGTTCTTATCTGTAACAGGTATAGTTCTTTCCAAAACATATTAGAAGACCATTCATCAGCATTAAAATGATGTATCTGTCAATCTTTTTGGCAGCTACTCAAGAAATGTAATCCATGTACAAAGTGGCTTAAAAAGAAATACTTTTCAGGTCTCTTATTTTAACCCATGGTATCAAGGCAATTTAACTTCATTGCCAGACTGATATTGTATTTAATTTGCTGATTTCTAAATCAAGATTTTTATAAACCAACACTCATTATTTCATAAGTCCATAATTCAGTCTTTAAGAAGTCATTCATGAGTTAAAGAACTGTCATTGATTTCATTCACTTAGTGCCAATGTACTATCTCAGCCCTTGTCTAATGAGACACATTTCCAATTACTTAATGTACTAAAAAATAGTCTTCATGAGGGTTGTAGTTACAAAACATTTTTAATGCCACAAATAACTGCGCAACAAGTTTTTATTCTTGTAATGTTCCCCCTACAGACTTTCCACATTTGCTGTTGTCACAAAATTGTATTTACATGTTTTTTTAATATCAATCAGTTATTATTTGCCACACACATAACACACTGTGCTTCATATCTTTCAAAGAAAATTCCTCAGTATCTATAATTAAATTTGTAACCGTATGGAACACAGTTTTTCTCACCAATTCTGCGATTACACGAGAGCAGAAATAAGATACAACCCACACTGGAACTCAAGAAACACAGTCCTCACTGTGGATGAAGCACTAAGCTGTACCTTCTATCTAAAACTGTAACATCAAAATGCAGATCCCTGATCTAAGGCAGCTCTATCAGCCATTGAATCATCAATCCTGCCTAAAGCCTTGAGGAAGAACTGGATCTGTAGCTTTCTTAGAATTCCTATATTAAAAATCAACCAGTGCAAATGTCTGTAAAATATCATATGCTATTATTTTTTAAAACCCTGTGGGGTTTTCAAATTGCTTTGCTTGGTCCTGTTTTCTAGGCATATGTGTATGGTGTTGGGTGGCTGTGGGGGGTCTTGGTACTGAGGCAGGGTCCTCAGGGGTGGCTCCTGTGAGAAGATGCTGAAAGCTTCCCCAGCTCCAAAAATCTGGCCCTGACTCAGGCCAAGGCCAAGTCTGTAAGTGACAATGGACATGCCTCTGCCACTAACATCAAGAAGGGGAAATGAACTGCTGTGAGACCTCAGGGTGGAGAAAAGGGGGGAGAACAGTGCCAGAGAGGATGGTGAGACCTGGAGCAAAGCAGACACACCAAGGGCAGTGAGACTGGAGGAAGAGGTGGGGTGAGATACTTCAGCTCTGTTTTTTATTTTTCTTTGTCCTGTTTGCATCTGATTAGGGATAAATTAAATTCATTTTCCCCCAACTTCAGTCTGTTCTGCTCGTGAACCCTCCTTGTCCTTGTCTTGACCCACCAGCTTCTAGTTGGATTTTCTTCTCTCCATACCACCGTGTGGGGAAGGGTGACTGCGCAGCCACCTGGTGCTTTGCTGTTGGCCTAAACCATGACATGTAGATGCAGGAATCTAAAATTAAGATCCATGAGCTCTCCCTGCTGCCTCTCCCCCATTCTGTGAGTCACACAAAGTGAGATATTAAGAATATAAAGAAATCATCACTGCCTTTTTAGATTTCCTGCTACTCGGGACTGGTAAGAGACACTCAAAGACAAGGAGAGAATTCTCATTTACATAAACTTAATCAAACACAATTGGTCAAGTGCAGTGTCTTCAAACAAGGAGTGGTGCCATCTGGAGTTGCAAGGAAACTCCTAAGGAGTTACATGAGAAGACAGGAATAAAGCACAACATGATTTCAGAACTTCAGAAGAGAAGA